ACTTTGAATGGAGTGATTTTGCATCTTTGACTGCCATGATTTTCAGAACTAAACTTGCAGGCATTTGGGTAAGTTCCATGGAGAAAATAAAGATGTCTATTCACACAAAGTATAAAAACACAATGGAACACATTCACTCCCTCACATGAAAAGACAAGAAAAAGAAACAAATGAAGATGGATTCCAGAGACAAAGTATGAGTTAGGCTATTAGCAGAGACACATGAAACACATGCTAGAATTTCTGTACATCGATATTCTAAAGACCCTGGAACAGGTTCTACGGATTGGTGGGTAGCTAAAGTAGTCCTACTATTTAATCAAAATAAGTAGATATGGAGAAAGCTGGAAGTTATAGACTGGTGAACGTGACATCAGTAGTAGGGAAAATGTTGGAGTATGTTGTAAAAGATCTAATAGCAGAGCACTTGGAAATCAGTGACAGGGTTGGATAAAGTCAACATGGATGTATGAAAGGAAAGATCATGCTTGACAAAACTTCTGAAATTTTTTTGAGGGTGTAATCAGCAGAGTCATAAGGGGGAAACTTTGTTGAGGTTTACTTCAACTTCCAGAAGCTTTCAATGTCCCGCATAAGAGATTAGCATGTAAATGTAAAGGACATTGCGTTGGGGGTAGTAACATGACATGGATAGAGAACTAATGACAGACAAAGAGTAGGAATGAACCAGTCATTTTCATTTAGAGCCTAGCCAGTCACAACGTATATTAGTTATTTAGATGAGGGAACTAAATGATGTATCTTCAAGTTTGCAGACAATGTGTGAGAGGGTGAACTGTGAGGAGAAAGCAGAGATGTTTCAGTGCTGATTTGGATAAGTCGAATGTGTGTCAAACAAAGTATAATTGGACAACAGCAAAGTTCATAGAACCATAGAATGAAAGTACAAGATGGGCTCTTTGGCACATCAAATCTATAGCAACTAAAATTTACTGCTTTCCAAACTTGTTCCATTTCCCTGTACTAGGACCATAACTTTGAATGTCAAGATAATTTAAGCGCTCATCTACGTACCTTCTTAAAATTTGTGAGTTTTCCTACCTCAACTACCCTTCAAGGCACCCTAACTTCCTACCACATTCTGGGTGAAAAAGCATTTCCTCAAAATTTTCCTTTAAATTCCTTCCTTTTACCTTAAAATTGTGCTCTTTGTTATTGACCATGCGACTGAAGGGAAAAGCTGCTTTCTACTCATGCTGTCCATTCTCCTTATAATCTTATACACTCTTTCTGTCCCCCTAGCCTTCCCTGCTCCAAAGAAAACAACCCAAACCCATCCAGCCTTTTTTCTTAGCAGAAATGATCCATTCCAGGCAACATCCTGTTGAATCTCCTTTGCACCTCCCTCCTGTAGGTTCCTGACCAGAATTGCACACAGTGTCTAGCTGTGATTAAGCAAAGTTCTGTACAGATCCAACAGAACTTTCTTACTGTCATAATCTATGCCAAGACAGATAAAGGCAAGCATCCCGTATGCCTTTTTAAACTACCCAATTGACCTGTCCTGCCACCGTCATGGATCTGTGGACAAACACCCCAAGATCCCTCTGTTCCTCTGAGCTTCTTAGTGTCTTGCCATTCACTGAGTACTCTCTTATCTTGTGCCTTCTTTCAAAATGCATCACCTCATATTTTTCAGGGTTACATCCCATCTACCACTGATCAGTCCATTTGATCAACTTACCTATATTATCCTGTATCACAACAGCTTCCTCTTCACCATCAACCATTCAGCCAATCTTTATGTCATTTGAAAGCTTACTTATCATCCCTTCCACATTTTTATCTGCATTATTTATAATATTGAAAACAAAAAGTGACACAGTACTGATCCCTGTGGTCCATCACTACATTTGCATTACCATTATGTTCAGTGACATTTAGGTGAATGCGTGGGCCGGAGTTCTCATAGAAATTTATAAAATTCGAACAGAACTATACAGGGGAAATTCAGAAAGGATAGTCCCAATCACGAGGAGTCCACAACCAGGGGTCACAGTCTAAAGATGTGAGCTGGTCATGTAGGACTGAGACGAGGATCTATTTCTTCATGAATCTGTGGAATGCTCTGCAACAGAGAGACTGAAATGTATGTGTTGTCCATCTCTAAATGCCCTTGAATTCATGACTATTCAGCAATTTCAGAGTAAATTATATAGCGGTGGGTCTAACATCACACTTAGGACAGTTAAGATATGAACGAGCAGACATCCTTCCCTAAATATCATTTGTAAACAAGATTTTATGGTAATTGACAGTAATTTCCTGGTTAGCTTCCAACGAACCATTTAAATTTTTGATTCCTTAATTTAATTCAAATTTCATTCACCAGGGTGGAGGGGCATTGTGGGGGGGAGTGGTGTGGGGGATGTGAGCTCATGTCACCATGACATTAATTTGGTCTCAACTCCACTGCTACAATTCCAATTGTACTACTTACTGCCTTATTCTGCTCAGGACTGGGAGCCACGGTAAGTGAATCAGTTGAGTATATCACCTCTGTTGATGAACATCGATAATTTTGTTGAAGGTAGATTTGTCCAATACTATGATACAACATGACAATTTTTTGCAATTGAGCCCATAATGGCAAGAGTTTAGATTCTCCTTGTCATGGCCCATTTTTCCACAAGGAACTGACCAGCTAAGTGAGGCTGTTGCTCTGCATTTCAAGATCAATGAACAGTCTTAAAAAGGTGTTTTATATATATGTGGGCTTTAGCAATTGTAACAGTCTAGAGAAGCAGCTTTGAAATCTGGTTGTAGTATCCATATTCAGGGTGATGTTCAGTTCCCTCTTAGTGTTGCCTAAATTGAGGGGTAGTTTGCTTTAAACTGTTTTATTTCCACTCCATTTTAGGTGCCACATCTCTCATTAATTCCAGCTAGCTTTCAATTCCATCATTTCATGATTCAGAATTCCAAAAATGACCATGCCTTTATATCAGTTCAGATGTCATGTGTATAGACAAGACTCTTGAACCTAGATAGGCGTCGTTTGATTGTGTACAAGTATACAGTTTTGGACAGACTATTGCAGAAGCCTATTCAAATTCTATCAGGGCATAAGGTTAGCAGTCACATCTACATTTTTATTTTCTTCGAAAAAGTTAACGTACGGTTGAGGCACGTGAAAACATATACTCCAGGCCCTGCTGAATGTCTTAATTTACTGCTGTAGGACCAAGGGAAATTTGACAGATTCATTCTGAAGAACACATTAGTGGGAGCCATAAAATCCTAAGTCACCATGTTGGGACTGAGTTTGGCTTGAACTATATAGAAATTGTGCTTTAGAAACTGGAATATAGCAATCGGCATATCGCATGTTCCGTTCAGTGAGATCATGGCTGTTATTTGTGATGTCATCTGCACTTGATTGTTATGGCCCTCCCCACAAAACCCATGGGTCCCTTACCTGCCAAATATCTATTTAAGGCTGTCTTGAAAAAATGCCTGTCACTGCTGTCTGTGGTCCAGCTTTCCATTCTTTTTTACTTCACAGATGCTGCCAGACCTGCAGTGCTTTTCCAGCAACTTTGTTTTTGTCCACAGACTAATGACTGTTTGAGACAACATTGAGAATTATTATTCATAAAGTATCTCCTACTTATTAAATCCCTCACAAGAAAAAAAAACATCCTTACAATATCCACCCTATCAGCTTCCCTCTCTCTAACAAAGATTACCCTTTATCTTCTGATTGCTAATATGCACAGGCCCAACATATTTAATCTTTGTTCATAACACGGACACTTGGTCCCAGGAAAAGATCTGGTAGATTTATTATGGACTATTTTAATCATAATTTCATTTTATTTTGTTTTCAAATAAGGTGACCAAAATTAACAACAGTACTGCAGATGTCATCTCACATAGGCTCAGTGTAAATCAAAACACATAAAACCTTAGGCTACTTTGTTGCACACTCCATTTTGAAATTAACACCAGCCTTATGCCCATTTTCTTAGTCAGTTTCTATACCTGGGAATGAACATTATGTCATCTATGCTCCAGGAAATATAGATTGCTCCTCACCACCAAGTTCTCAAATGTCTTTGCATTTACATATTATGCATTTTTTTCTATTCTTCCTATAAAAGTAGTCAAATTCATACTTACACTTTTATCCAGCATTTGCCAAATGTGTACATCTGGGGAAGTTGTCAGGTATCAGAAAAAAACTTAACTTCATTCTAATTTTGGACGTGTGGCTCTGAATCGCTAAAATCAGTCAATGTTGTTTATTTCCAAGGTCGCTACTCAGACTTCATACTCAATTTGTGAATTTTGTTTTTACATGGAATCATTCAAAACAATAATGTGTCACATATAATTTATTAAAGATCCTTGCTACTGTGATGGATGTGACACTGACAGTGCTACAATTAACAATAATTCCTGTTTGTTAATCAGTCACAATGAATCACCTCTGAAATGTGGAGCAGGAGTGCATCTAAAATAAATAATGTCATCAAGAAAGTCCCCTTTTCATTGGACATGAACAAATTGAATGTATGTTTAAACAATTCAGCAAATATAATTCCAACAGCTGATAAAATATTAACTTATCTAAAAGTGGTCAATGCACCCACGCTCCAAGGTGAGATAATAGTGCTGCAATAATGTCATTGGAATGGTACTAAAAACATTAGCTTAGTGTTCGGGCAGCATTGTTTGAACCCCAGTACAGCAGCCAGTGAAATTTGAATTGAATTGAATGAAAACAACATAACAACAACCTTGTAGCTCCCATTTATTTAAGAAAAACTGGTTCATTCATGTTGTTTTGGGAGCAGAATTTGCAAATCTTACCCAGTGTGGCCTATATGAATCTCCAGACCATGGCAATATTGACTTTTATGTATTCTCTGGAACAATTAGGGTTAGTTCAGTGGGCTTTGTCATGCTCCATGAGGTGTGAAATTTTCTATTAGACATGTTCAGAGTGTCGAGTTAATATATGATTTGTACCCCCATTATTTAATTGATATGGCTAAAAAGCTCAGTGAATATTTGAACAGATTCTTTAACTCCTGCCTGAATTTCCACTGAGTTATAGCATAAATAAATGTGTTGGTGCAAGAACTCAGCAGCTGGAGCATATTTGCACTTTCCTGGAGAAGAAATTTTGGATCGCTAAAGCCCCTAATCTGATAATCATTTGTAAATCGCTCATATAAAAATTGTATGACGTATGTTATCCACAATAAGATAAAACTGCCCGAAACAGCAAATAGTAAAATTATGGATTTTCTCCGGCTCTCCATTTCTGGGTCCATCTGATTCTCTTTATTTTTGCTAGCCCAAAGCCTCTGGCGGGATCTACTGGTTGCTATAATGTATCTGACAGTTAGAACATTAAGCAGAAGAATGAGAAAGAATGGTGTAAATGGAGTCAAAATGCGGTCAAACCAGTCAAATACTCTCCATACTGTAGAAGTGTAACGGATTTTTCTCACACTGCAATACCATGGAACACCGTTAATGAGGTAAATTGGTTCATGTATAAAATACCAAGGAACACTTTTCAGACATCCTAATGAACAAACCATTCCTATAATGAAAGCTGCTATTTTATCATTACAATATTTTGTTTTGAACTTCATGCAACATATAGCCACAAATCGATCAACAGTGAAAGCAACTGTCAACCACACAGAACTGTCTCTGGATGCATAAATTAAAGCAATAGTTAGACGGCATATGGGGGTAATGGACAGGAAGCTACCAGGAAAATAAATGCCAGGAAGCCTGTTTAACAGCACTGCAGTTACGATTACCAAGAAGTCTGTCACGGCCATCGATACTAGGTAGCAAGTGATACATTTGGAGAGACCGCACCGTCCTTTGATGAGGATCACAATCGCCACTAAATTAACTAACACAAAAGACAGAAGATATGAATTAACCATATATGATAAACTACAATGAACGAAAATATGTGTTGAAAATTTAAACTGATTTCAATTTTGATTCAGCATGTGACAAATTCTATGCTACTATGTAAGTTAAAGAGAATTGGATATTGGATTAGCACAAGTTAGCATTTATCATGAATATTGATTTTTATGATTGCAATCTGTAAAAAAATACAAACAAGTAAAGTGCATCCATTTGAAATGGATGAAAATTGCTAATTGTGGAAATTTACGATTATAACATAAACCTGTAGCAGGAGAAAATAAGCAACTTAACTTCAATGACACTTGATGTTGTCAGGAAAAATGATGTGGAGGTAGAAGAATGGATGGAAGTATTTGCAGAATGTTGAAACTGTACGGAGGTATGGAATACTGTGTTTATCATATTTGCAAACTGTAAGCAATGCCTTGACATAGTATTGATCATCAATAATGTGATTACCTGGAATAATTCAATGTAAATTAAATCAATTAATAATTTCAGGAGGTGATTAATATGCTGTAATTCACATTAAGTTGCTAAGAATTAGTTGACAATAATCTAAATTCAGATTTCAAAAATGTTATACTCTATTGGAGGATATGTACACAGAAGTCCCTTTTCTTCTTATGAACATACTCAGAGAAGAATGCTGGAGTCATGTTCACTATTCTTGTTAATATTTTATCTTGACAACCAAACACAGTAATGGATGACCTTGTAAATATGCCTTTTAATGTTTTGGGGAGCTATGTCAGCATATATTTTCCTTTTCAAAATTACAAGGCAAAATGTCTTTCATGAGCTATAAGTTTCTTTGGGACCTGGCAAAACCTAAATCTCTACAAAACTGAAGGACAAGAGAAGGAGGTACAAGGTACTACTGATATTGGAAGTTAATGTTTTGAGTTATCCTGAATTGAAACAAAATCACATTGCATCACTGTGTCAAAAAAGCTTCCTTGCATATTAGCATGTTCAGTAACAGTATCTTTTGGTTGTTATGCAGCAGGGAGTAGTGCTTGAAATCCAGAATCAAACATAATATTTGAAGTTTGCTGCTGACACAAATGTCGGCATGATTGTGAGTGGTCAGAGGATCTAAAGAAGCTCTGGGTGATATAAACATAGAACAGTATAGTACAGTACAAGAACAGGCCCTTCAGCCCACCATGTCTGTGCTGACATGATGTGATTCTAAACTAATCCCATCTGCTTGCACATGATCTGCATGCATCGATTCTCTGCCTGTTCGTTGTCAATCTAAATACCTCTTAAACTTTGCTATCATATCTGCTTCTACCACCTCCCCTGGAAGAGAATGCCACACCCTACGTGTAAAAAACATTCCTTCACACAACTCCTGAACACTTCTCCTTTCTTAATGTAAACTTATGTACTTGACATTTCCACTCTAGGAAAGAGACTCTGACTCCCACCCTATCAATTCATCCCATAATTTTAAATACTTCTATAAGGCGATCCATCAGCCTCCGATGCTCTAGCAAGAGCAATCCAAGTTTTCTCTCTTCTTATAGCTAATACACTGCAATCTGGGCAATATTCTGGTAAACCTTTTCTGCACCCTCTCCAAAGTGTCCACATCCTTCTGATAATGCGGTGACCAGAACTACACACAGTACTCCAAATTTGGCCTTGCCAAAGTGTTACATTTTTTTGTAACATGACTTGCCAACTTCCATGCTTGATGCCCCAACTTTTACCAGCCTGTTCAGAGATGTTATTGCATACCAATACAGCAGGTGTAACTTGAACCCAGGTCTCCATGTCAGAGGTAGGGACAATACCACATTTCCACAAGAGACCAGAGTGCCTTTTTTAACTTATTTTAGTATCAACCTGTTCAAGAGTGTTATTATACATCTCTGGAGTAGGTAAGACTTGAATTCGGGCCTTTTGGCTTAAAGGTAGGGATACTAATGCTGCACCACAAGAGCCCATTTTCTAATCAACCTATTTAGGAATGTTATAACACACTTCTGGAGAAAGTGGGACTTGAAAATAGAAATCCTGGTCTAGCGGTAGGGACACTACCACTGTGCCACAGGTGGGACCATCATGTCTTTTTTTTTTCTAAACATATTTTTCTGAGCAACCTGTTTAGCGCTGCTATTACACATGTCTTGAGCGGGTGGTATTTGAATAGCAGCCTCTTGGTCCAGGGGTAAGAACACTACCAATGCACCAGAAGAGGATCCTATCAAATGCCACATGTTGAGTAAGTGGACAAATGCATGACAGCCTTAACATCGCCCTCCTGACTACTTGTAACCCTGGCAACCGCCTGGTCACCCTTCTCCCCTCCACCTCACTCCTCCTCAGAAACATGGGGAACCAGCTGGTCATGTCACATCTGAGCAGTTGCTTATGGATTCTCCTGAGTTCAATCATTTGAAAAGGAAAAAAAGTCTGATTTTTACTTGAGAATCTTTTTTTCGTGTTTTGTATGTCACCAGACTTGGAGACAGTATATCTCTCTTAGTCCTAACTAGGCCATATGTAATGCCTGTTTGTCAGAAATTGTTGCCTACACACTGTTCTCATGCACTTGTTCAGTGTTACCATGTTTTTCCCTTGGGTTTTGAGTGGAGTTCAAGCAGATGATGTCACATTGCGAGAATTGTCTGCTGTAATAATTTAGTGGTTCGGAAATAATTTTCTTTGGAACATTCAAATGATTTTTTCATTAAAGTCTTATTCCCAGACATTAGAGTAAAGGGAGTAAGTGTGAGTTGCATTTTTATTGTCTAAAAACCAAATAGTGCTAAATGGAATATTGCATCTGAAATGAAACCTGTTAGGAATATGAAATACCCGAAGCACGGCATTAAATTTGTAGTGTGCTTTTGAAGGTACACTATTGAAACTGTTGTTAATTAAGAGTACGTTTAAAAGCTGATGTGTTGCTCCGACCACAAATACATTCTTTGCTTGGAAAATCCGAGCAAGTTGTGATCTTTTTTTCTTCTCTTCGTGAGCACACTACACATGATAAAACAACTGTTATCAGAGTTCCAACCATGGTGGATTTGTTTTCAAACTCTTGAGCTGCGGTATGATTTGGATAATTGTGAAGACCAATTTTGTATGCAAAACAAAAAGGAATAGTTTAATTTAAATGGTAACAATTTTAGAAATGTTGATGTGCAAAAGGATGTGGTCCATTAGAAAAATGATATGCTGGCCATTATTGCAATATGAGCTTGAGTACAGCAGCAAATACATCTTACTTCAACTGTGCATCGATTTGCTGGCACAACACCTGAAGGTATTATCTGTAATTTTATCTACCTACAAAAGATCGTGTTGTCATAGAGGGAGCACAAAAAACAAGGTTCACCAGAATGATTCCTGGAATCACACTTTGTTGTATAAAGAGACAGTGGGATGACTGGTCCAGTATTCACAGGCATTTAGAAGAGTGAGAAAGGATCTGAAACATATAAAATTCTTGTGGGGCTAGACAAACTGGAAACAGGGATCATGTTTACCCTGACCTGGAAAGCTGTCCAGTACAAGTCTCAAGTAGACTATTTTGGACTGAGGCAAGGAGAAATGTCAGGACACAGATTGTATAGAAACTGTGGATATTCCTACTACTGAAGGCAGTGTAGGTGAAGTACTTGAATATAGCAAAGAAGGCAATAAATTTATCGAGGCTTAGGATGTCAAGAGCAATGGTGAAAGTGAGGAGTAACAAGATTATGTTAGAGGATTAGCCAAGACCGTGATGAAATATAGGGCGGGCTTGATGGACCAAATAGGAGACGCGTGTTTCTATTTGTTATGGTTCTATGAAACCATCCATCATTGGTCAAAGAAAATCGCAGCATCACAAGACAGAGCAGGCTGAATGTTTGGCTGTTCCTCACAATGTTCCAAAATTATGTTTTACTGCAGCAAAACAAAAAGGTAGCTCGCTGACACCTTCTCAAGATCATTTAAAAGTGGGGAAGAACACCGTGATCTTGCTAGGGATACTGATATCATTCGTTCGAACACAGTAAATGAGAACAGATGTTTCAGTTAAATTGAAATCAATTTTGAGTGTTCTTTAAAAAGTATGCTCCGGTCAATTTATTTTATTCTGCATCATTACACGGGCCGTCTGCATGCATATAAACCCGCAACTAGGCTGGATACTTTAAGATAATTTTAATAATTTGTGACAAGAAAATAAAACATTTTCAGCTTGACATATCGACCACAAATTTATTACTTGAAACACTTTACCTGGAACAGCAACAATTGCAAGGATGGTGTAGTATACAGCGTAGATTGGTCCTTTTGGTGGAGTGTGCATTTTCTGCTTGAAGCAGTGGTGGCTGTTCTGCATCACACTTGTGTTATATTTTCTTATTGATGTATCCTTTATTATATCTGAGGTTAAACCCACCAGAGACACAATTAATGTGCCTGCTTGTCTTTCAGCAGCGGGTTGGGTTACTTCAGCTTTATGTTAATTATAGTCATTAAATTATCAAACTAATATATTCGATTTGACTTTTTCTTTGATGCAGTGCAGTAGGAGAAAATGGATACCATAGAATCTTAACAGGAAACAGCGAATGGTAGCAATGTAATTCTGAACTGTTAAATTACTGCTCACTGGCAATTTCTCGAATGCTTCAGGAAATTATGGAGATTATGACCTAGTGGTGTTATCACTGAACTGTTAATCCCGAAACCAAGAAAATGTTCTGGGGACATGATTTTGAATCGTGTCATGGCAGAAGATGGAACTTGAAATCAATAAAATTCTGGGAAAAAAGAGTCTATTTTTGATTACAACTGTTGTCGTTATGAAAACCCATCTGGTTCACAAATGTCATTTAGGGAATGTGGGGATAGACAACAAATGCTGGACCAGACAGCGGCA